ATAAAAATAACTATAATAGTCCCAAGACTTTATTTCAGAGCTAATGATGTTTTTATTGTATGAAGAATCCTCTTACAAAGCCTTACCCAGCTGTTGTGCTAGCCAAGCTGATGGGAATGACAGTCACTGAAGAGTACCCTCCAACACGGTTAGCAGAGTTGGTTTGTGACACCACATGGAGTAGCAGCAGTACTTAACTAGGTGCTGCTTTGAAATGGAAATATTATTGCAATTTTGAATATATTTTATTGTACTACATATATTATTTTGCTTTTGATAGTATCAATGTGCTATTGTAGTGTGACTAAGTGATCTCAAGAGAGCAGCTGAAGAATTTTTCTGGAAAGGGAAGAAAGGGAGATTCTGGCACTGCAGACCCTTCTTGGTAATACCCCACTACTGGCAGTGGAAGAATATGGGGGGGAAGTGTGGGGCATGTTACTACTCAAGGGTTTCCCAACCTTAAAGTGTTGGTCCTTGGAATGGTCTACAGAGAAGGAATCAGCTTTGGGTTGACTGCTCTTGAGAACTATTGTAGTTACTAGTATTTGTTGGTTAAAAGTGACTAAATGTGCATGAGTTTTGTTGGAAAGGCCTCCTCAGTTGCTGTTGTTAGTGCATTATTGATGTATAATGTGATTTTTGAGTTCAACAGTGTACTTTTCCTAGGCTTTTAACTTTCTTCCACTAGATGGCCCAAGCATGCTTTCAAGTACTCTGAGAACTGAAACTTTTACTTCATTTCTAACAATGAAATTGTGTAATTTTAACTGAAGTTAAAATTCTGCATCGTGGAACATGAACAAACCTATGTGATGCTTTGTTCTTGTTTAAAACAAACACTTTATTGAGTGTAGTACAATGCTGTTTAGTTTTGCGTTGAGATGAGAACTCACTCTGCCACTCTGAAAAGGTGTCAGTCTCAGCCTGAAGTTTGTCCCTAACATCTGGGAGTGAGACTTGTATTTTGCAGGCCACCATAATTGGATTTTTTTGCTTCTTGATTTTGCTGCGTAGGGGTTTGGTAACTACTTTGCAGTTTATTTCACCACTATAGATGTGGTCAGTGGGTTCTGAATAGGTGTAGTTAAATGTACACACTGTAATTTGATTCAGCTATTTTTGTTGTCTAACAGACATCAAGTATGAGCTTGTTATCCCCGACTGTCTTTTTGGTCAGTGGGGAAAGACAGGTATATGCAGAAGGCAGCTCTTACCATGAGGGTGGTCGAACATTGGAACGATGCTGAAGTTGTGGGATGTTTATCCACAGAGATGTTCCAAACTCAACAGGGCCGAGGGCTGCACAGCCTGAGCCTGTTGGGCCAGCTCTGACTGGGAGATTGAACTGGGTGACCTTGGGAGGTCCCTCCGGCCTCAACTACTCTAATTTCAAAGAGAGACAGTATTAGTTCCTTTTCTCTACTGGTGTTTAAGACAAAAATAAATACAAAGAAAATGAATTGTCTTTCTGAATTAGTTCCTAACGTCAGTATTTTGCTTCTGAGAACCTTGATGTGGTGGTATTAGACCAGCAGAAGTGTGTGTCTGTGTGCTTTTTTTCCTTCTTAAATTGCACCCCTGCCAAAAAAAGGGTGCCATGTACAGGGAGTACTATCTTCTGTGTTCCTTCATTTCACTGCTGCACTTGCTAAGTGCCCTCTCTGTCCAGTTACTGTTTGGTGTTGTTACTCCTAGTGTCTCCCTTTAGCAGGGATTGTAGATTTTCTTATTCCTGTTTCTCTTCTGCTCTTTCTCTTTATGGAAGAGACCTAGCTGTTGTCCCTTCCTCTGCGTCTGTCTCTGTGCTCCTTTTTTTCCTTCCTTTTCCCATTGTCAGTATTTGTCCTGTCCTACCACCTTCCTGCTTCTCTTCCCTTTTCTGGCTGGAGACAAAACAACATATCCATGTGTACTAGAAGGTTGGACATAAATGGAGTAATATCTCGGTGAAGGGATATTGCTGCCTGCAGTCAGTTCTGTAGACAAAGAGGTAATCTGCTCCAGTTCCTGGCTCCACTGATACACGTTGGAGCTCTGCATTTGCAGTATTTGTCTTCCTTTCTAATTTCTTCCAAAGTCAATAGCTTTCAGCTTATTGAGCAATACACCACACAGATTTTGCCAGTTGAGCCATGTGCAGAGAACTTTCTAAATATGTTGGGTTTGTGATAGAATTGTGTGTTTAAGAAAAGAGATTAAAAATTATCCTACTGGGATTTCTTTTTGAACTGATACACCCTAACTCTGTGTAAGAAATTGACTGCATGGCCTTGCAACTCCTGTTATTAGTAATACAGGCTTAACTTTGCTTGTAACTGGAAAGCAAACTGATGAAATTAATTCCATTCTTAGCATCCTGGTAGTGGAAAACACAGGCATAGGAACTAAAACATTAATGGTATATTTTGGTTAGTAGCATGAGTTGTGATTTAGTTTTTAGGGTTTTTTTTTAACTGCACAAATTTAATAGCAAGTATGGAATAGAGTGGGTTTGAGAAGGTTTACCAGGAAATCTTTGATGGAACAGCAACATAGACAAATGACACTGAGGTATGTATAGTTTTGCATGCTCTGTATTATATGGAACTTGGAGTGCTGTAAAAGGGAGTTTAGATAAAGACGTGGAAGTTTCTCAGCTTTTATCTTAATCGCTGTGTCAGTGTTACACAGCTGAGCCCAGAACAAAAGTTTAGATTGGATATTAGGAAAAATTTCTTTACTGAAAGAGTGGTCAAGCATTGGAACAGGCTGCCCAGGGAAGTGGTTGAGTCACGATCTCTAGATGTGTTAAAAAAATGTGTAGACGTGGCACTTCAGGACAAGGTTTAGTGAGTATAGTGGTGTTGGGTTGACAGTTGGACTTGATCTTTCAGGTCTTTTCCAACCCTAATGATTCTATGATTCTATCTTGGTCATGTCTCAATCAAAATTTTGCACTGAATGGGTTTTTAGTAACTAGACAGTTGAAACAGGTACTAATATTTGTTTTCAGACAGACGTTTTGGTTCACATATCTGATGCAAATAGTACAATAGTGTATGCTTACTGCATCATTTTGTAGCTAGGAGTACAGAAATTATATTTTGGAATGAACAATACAAAGCCGTGGTGGTGACGAAATGTCAGAAAGGTGTTTCTTATCTGTCTAAATGCCTGAATGTCTCAGTATGCACAGGCATTTTGGATAGGCGAACGTAATGCCTTGGGTGCGTGGCATAGCAGCCGTGATGTAGTGCTATTTGAAAGCTGGACAGAGCTGCAGAAGGTTGCAGTATCAGGTGAGAAGTTCTAAACCACTTTCTCCTGTAAGAAATGTTAATCCAGTTCAGTTTAAATTTAGTTTGATATAACTTTGCAGCTACTGTGGTTAAGGCATGATACTGAAATCTTCACCCCTGTGTCAGTTCTGTTTGGCTGACAAAAGTAATTCTAAAATCAAGCTGCTTATTGCAATCAATAAAGCTTGTTCTCATGGCTAAAATACCAACTCCAGTTTTTGAACTTTTCAGAGTAGTTCAGAAATAATAATTTAAAGAATTACAGTGGCATTTTTGTATTTAGAATAGTATTAATGTTGTTATTTTTTCTTTATGTTCCTTTATGTCCTTCACTAGATGTCACTAGTAGATTTGGGAAAGAAACTTTTAGAAGCTGCACGAGCAGGTCAAGATGACGAAGTTCGCATTTTGATGGCAAATGGAGCACCTTTTACCACAGATTGGGTAATGAAAACTTTGGTAGTGTAAAGCCTCTTACTTTTGTCACCTGAAGAAGAAAAAAGTATTATTACATTAAGCTTTTATATTGCAAGCCTTGGGAGTTTTTTTCTGGGAATTCTGCAGTCACATGAGCTAATGTCTAATTCAAAATTAAAATTGTCTATTTCTTCATACGACTTCCTACTGATTTTAGTAACAGACTGTGAATGAGCTTGTTCTGGTGGCTTTTAAGAATAACTTTGAAATGCTTAATGGGAGAAAGCAGCAGTCATCCTTCTAGTTATTGTGTTTATGCATTTAGTATAGTAAGAGGTCTGAATTAAGAAAGCAGTCCCAACTACCCAATGTGTGCAGCTGAGAGTTCCCTGATACAGGGGCTTTGAGTTGTCTTTTGAAGGTGCCTGTTTTTTAATGGGTTGAATAGGGAGGTCAGGTACCTAAAATTCTAGGGTATTTACAAGCCCTTAAGAGCCTTAATCTACTTGGTGAACTGACTTTCAAGTTGACTCTGTTTTGAGCAGAAGGTTGGACTTAACTTCTGGGGTCCCTTCCAATGTTGGCATGGCATGTTGACCAATGCTAAAAATGGGATTAGGCCCCTCGAAACATCACACCTAAAAAAGACAGAAAAAACATAGCACAGGCCTCAAAAAGTTGTTTCCAGTGAAGTGTTTTTAGTGTGTTGTGATTATTGGGGGGAATAATACCCTCTTCATACTCTGTAAAAGCCCCAACAGCTTCTTTCCTTTGGACTACAAAGGAAAATAATATTGAAGTTGTGACCTGACACCTGAGTTTGATAGCTCCAGAATAAGAAATAACAGTTTATATTGACATCTGTTAAAACTCCACTTTTCTGTTACATTACAGTTGGGAACATCTCCACTTCATCTAGCAGCACAGTATGGACACTACTCAACAACAGAAGTGTTGCTGCGCGCAGGTGTAAGTCGGGATGCCAGAACCAAAGTGGACAGAACTCCATTACATATGGCAGCATCAGAAGGCCATGCCAGCATAGTAGAAGTCTTACTTAAGGTAAAGACTGCTGAAACAAGGCCTGAGCCGGGGATATTACAATGCTTTATGATCAGAGATTTGCAGTTTCCTTTTAGTCATGAAACCAACATTGAAATGATATGAATATTTATGCTGTGTGCATTGGGTCCTTTGTTTTCCTATTAAACTGTAATTTATTTTAGCATTAAAATCATCAAGATTTCAGGTGAATTGTTTATTGCTGTTTCAAAATAAGAACTGCATCCTAATTTGACATTGTCTGAGTAACAGATTTTGGAACCAAGATTTATATTTTTTGAGAGTCTTTAATCCTTTGAGGTAAATAATTTATTTGGTAGTTAGATTGAAGTACTTTTAATAAATCTGTAAATGTAAGATAACAGGACATTACTGCTAGAGAAAGACAATCTGGGGCTTCATTCTGTGACCAGCATTATTTAATTCAGATACTGCTAATGACATAGTGATGATCTTGTTTGTAGCATGGTGCTGATGTCAATGCGAAGGACATGCTCAAAATGACTGCACTTCACTGGGCTACTGAACATAACCACCAAGAAGTTGTAGAACTCTTAATAAAGTACGGAGCAGATGTTCATGCTCAGAGTAAATTTTGCAAAACGGCGTTAGATATTGCAGTAGACAATGGAAATGAAGACCTCGCAGAAATATTACAGGTAACTTTTGATTCATGATGTTAAGGGAACTTACAGCAAAGTACTTGTACATGGGATAAACCAAGCTTTTAATATAGCAGCCGTGAGACCATATTGACTGATAATGCTAAAGTCCAGTCTAGTTCATGACATGGAAATGAGATTAGTGTTAGTAAACATTAGTTGTCCGAAGAGTATTTTTCACCACGAAGTCAAGGATAAATATGCTTTATTTTCTTAAATTTGAGTGTTACAGCACACAGGACCAGGTGGAGTCTTCACAGGCAAGGTGTAAAACTTAACTCCCTGCTCTGTCAGTATGTTTGGACTACATCCTAGTGTTCAATTAGCTTCATATATGGATATTAATTTCCTAACAGTTGGAGATTAGGAGAGAAGAGATGGCAGTTTTTCCTGAATTAGAAAAACTAGGATTGAATTGTTGGAGCAGTGATTGGGATCCAGATTATAACAGATACTTCCATGTAAAGGTGTTCTTAAAGGCAAATGAAGTGCTAAGTATTATTGAGAAAAGAATAAAAAGCAAATGCAAAATACCATTATGCCACTGTGTAAATCTCTTGTTCCCCTTGAACTGTATGAATTTCTGGTCTGTTCTTTTAGCCTTCTCTTCATTGCAGAAAGGATATAGTAAATAAAAGTAAAAAATGTTTCAAAGAAAGATAAAAAGAAGAATGGCATCTACAATTCATGGCAATTACTAAGCTATCAGAGCTGATTTTCATGGCAAGTAGCTGCCACCGCAGTCTTGGTTCTTCAGGCCTCTTTTTTTCAATACATGAGCTTGTGCATCTACAAAAGAGCCTTGTCTTTATATGGTCCTATTTGTGTACAATAAATGGTAAGGAGAAGTAGTGGTGTGTCATTATTCTTTCACTTCAACAGATTTTTTGTCTTTAGATTTCAGCCTGAAAAATGTTTCTCATGTTCTTACACAGAGCACAAGATGTGACACAATGTGTGTATACTGCATGACTAGATAACAGGGGAGATCCTCCCTGTTTGAGTGCAATGTGCAATAATTCTAGTTCTTGCAAGGCAAATAACTTCTGTATACCTACAATTGGAATGATATTACTTCCTTTGTCTCCTAGATTGCCATGCAGAACCAAATCAATACGAATCCAGAGAGTCCAGACACTGTGACGATACATGCAGCAACACCGCAGTTCATCATAGGACCTGGAGGGGTGATGCACCTAACAGGTCTGGTATCTTCTGCACATACATCAAATGGAAAAGGTATTCAGGTGCCTATAGGGTAGCTACTGGGATGTTATACTCTAATTGACTTTTCACCACTTAGTGAAAAGGCTCAAAGAAAAATGGTGGTAAGAACAGAGTAGTTAAACATGTTCCTCTTCAGTGCTTTTTGTTTTGTTTTGTTGTTTGGTTCTTTTTTTCCTATTTGTTGTAAATATCCAGGTACTTAAAACAACAAGTCTTCACAGAGATAAATTATCAGAAATTGTATTTGCTTAAAAACTTTGCCTTCAGAATAGCGCTTTGGTTTAGCAGAACGTTTCTGAGAAGAGAGTGTGTGTTAGAAGCTTCAGTGCAATAATAATAATAATAAAAAAAGGACTTCACTGGTTTTAAATTTATCTGCTAACTTTTTTTTTTTTTTTTACTCCTACTAGAAGAAACAGGAGTGTCTACTGTACAGTTTGGAAATTCATCGACATCAGTATTAGCCACATTGGCAGCTTTAGCAGAAGCATCAGCTCCACTGTCTAATTCTTCAGAAACACCAGGTTAGAGAGCTAAGTCGTTTAACCTCATTTAATAAACTAAAAGGACATATAACCAGCGCTTTTGGAGATAACGGTCCATACAGAAATGAGATTACAGTCTTCCTTTTTTCAGCTTGAACAAAATTTTTCCTTTACTTTCACCTGGAAGGTTGCCAGATTCATATGTACAATTATTTCTTAATAAGGTTCCTGGGCCTAATGTGAGTAGCATTCATCTTGCTGAAAGCAAACATAATTTAGGAGATTGAATTTACATCTTTGTCTGCATACAGTCTAGTTGGATTTGGTGGGAGAATGTTTTGTTTGAGTATTCCTTTCTGTTAAATATTGGGAAATGCACCCAGTGTTGTTTGCATGTGCTTTTTTGTCAGCGGTTTTCTTAATCTTTCACCCAAAAGGCACAAGAATATTTGGTGATCTTAATGTGCAGTTTGCCCATTAGAATGTCTGTGGTATGTCTTTTCATCACTGAGACATTCTGCTTGCATTTATAACTGTATGTAGTGATGAGTATGTCCCACTTCTGGCTGGTGTGCTGTCACGGCGCTTCAGGTAAATGTAAGCCCAGCGATGCATTATTGTTCTCCGAGGAAGAAGTGGCCTGCAGCCCTCACTGCAGCTGTGTGCACACCCTTATTCCATAAGGCCCATGACAAGAAGCCAGAAAGGCACAAGGAATTCCATTGCCCCAAGTTCTCAAGTTTTGCATTCCTCTTTCTTAAGACAAAACCCCTTCACCCCTGCCCCATGGATCTTTGCAAGTTACTACTGTGTCTGAAAAAAAAACTTGGTCAAGGTTCCATATTCTGCAAGTTATCCCGGATATCTTTTCTCCATTCTTTCTGAATAATGTAGTGTTTGCTTTGTGTACTTTTTTGCTTTTGTTCATTACAACGTGCAAAGTAAAGAAAGAATTCTGTGAATTGGTAGTCAAGAGTCTTACACCATCAAGGTGGATTATAAAGACTAGTCATTACCACTAACAGGTTTGAGAAAGGGAGGCATAAGCAAGGAAAATATTTCCTTTTATAATTTAAGCAAATTGTAATACCATCTACAATAAAGTTAAAATGTGATCAAAAGTGTTTGAATTATTGAAGGTTACTTTATAAGAGGATACCACTGAATTTATGTTTCAGACCATATTTTCCAGTTATGAGGTATATTAATATCTTGTCATTGCATAAAAAATCAGGTAGAACTAGCACTTGGGAGGTCAAGTGCTGGGATGCTGAAAAACCAGAATGCAGTGCCTTTCATTACAGAAGAAGGTGCTGCTGTTTTCAATCAATTAATATATTCCAATGAAACTCAGATCTAATTGTAGGAGAGAGAAATGAGATGGGATTGCATGGGATTACGGAGCATTAGATGTGTATTGAGGACTCAGTAGTAGACTTTGGTAACTAACCAAGTGTTCTCGTGTTTCATGGCCCTACCCATGCAGTGTAACCTATGTTACATGTCAGTCAGCCACTGAAGGTAAAAATTATTAGAGAGGAGGCAGGAGGTGACAGGCAGGAAGGAATAATCTTGAAGTCTTGATGCACCCCACCTTCAGTAACGCAGCATGCATTGGACCTAATCCTTGTTTATTTCAGTTTTTCTGCTTTGATTTTTTTGCAGAAGTGCGGGCAATCTTGCAGCATCTTACTGTCTGCAAAATATTTCCTGGGTTCTTACTCCTTTGGTAGTTTATAAAGTGTAAAGAATACAAAAGCAGATTTTGTCACCTGTGCATCAGTACTAAGTGTGTTCAAGAAAACAAAAATAATAAAAACACCTCCTTCTCTTTGTGCTCATCTTGTAAAAGATCCATTTCTCTAAAATTCTAGGATTGAGAATTCTAGTTTGGGCTGTTCCCTTGTATTTAATCTCCTGTGTTTAAGACTGTAAAAACTTGGACAAAGCACTGAGGTTCTGCCTTTTATGTTGTTTCTGTCTAGGTTTTTCTCCTCTTTCCAAGTTAACTTTACCCTGATTTCTTCTCCCTAGTTCCTCATGTCTTAGAGTTAAAAACACATCATTTCTGTAAAACCAAAGAAAGAAAGGTGCTTCTCACTGGGGCTGAATAGAATCATGCTTTTTTTAATTGTTACTCAAAGTGTGTATGAGGACATGGATGGTATGTACAAATGTGGTGCATAATGTATGTAAGGAACTTAGAGTTGGATTAGAGAAAAATCTGATTTAAGATGTGTATTTGGAATGCAGTATTTGGTGTGTGTGTGTTGGAACTAGGCATGTGTCTTACTGCAAGTGCAGGTGTTGCCCCCTGCACACTCTGCAGAAGAAAATAGTGCATGTGAATACAGAGATTCTTGAAAATAATAGTGCTGCTGTTTTAAATGACTTCAGCTTTCCTTCAGTATGTGAAGTACTGTGGTAACTAGTAATTTTATGGATATAAATAAGGAAGGAGAGCAAGGAAGAAATAAGGACATTTTTCTTTTCTATCGAATAACTTCTTTTTAGAAAAAAATCTTCATTTTTCTTTCAAGGTCTGCAGAAGTCCTAATAATGTTTCTTTCCAGAGCTAAAAGCCCAACATGGAGTTTGAAACGAAAAGATCAGAGCTTTTTGCCACAGCAGCTAGTATTGGCACTTGCAATTTTTTGTGACAGTGGTCTTTGTTACTGCTGAGCCTGCACTTGGAAGCCAAATCAAGTTCAATTCAACACCACTTACTCATGTAGGACTTACTGTTTTGGTTTACTGAATAAACACTCTGTGAATATTTAAGCAGTGCTATAGGACCGTAATCTCTGAACATAAAGATGTTCAGAAGGCAATGACTGCAGTCATTATTTGTGTGTGTGTTATGTTGTAATTAACTTAAAAGATGAAAGCTTCAGGATTTTATCTGCCTTCTCTCATCTTGAACATCACAACAGTCTATAGGGTTTTAATTTCATCTCTCTAGATAGAGAGCACTCTAATGTCTGTTATTTAAATCAAAGCATTTGCTTTTATTTTGACAAATTGAAAATAAAATACAGACTTGGTGTGCTTGGAATTATTTGATTGTGCTACTAGTCATCTTGCTCTTTGTCTCAGTATCTTGTTTTAAAAAATAAGGGTGGTAGTGTGAGACCCCAGTTACAGCGTATAGTGCCAGCTGTGGTATGTGTTGTAGTTCTGAACACAGGCTTTCCCTTATTTTATCTTGATTTGTAGATGTAGAACTGTGAGAGTCCACTGCTGTATACTCATTATTGAATCATGAATTTGAAATGTTTAGTTGAGCTTGGATTTTTTTATTTTTACTTTTACTTATAAAATTATATACATACAGTGTTTATTTTACATTTTTTAGCTTTATCTATCTTCTTCAAAGGTGTGAAAATGTCAACCCTGCAGAACTTTCCCTTTAGTCCTGTTTCATATTTTGTGTAATAAATAAAGTTGTGGTTGTGTTTGAAGTATCCATGTAGTGCAGACAAAACTTAAAGATTTTCTAGAGGTCCTTCAGTCGGTTACTGTCTTGAAGACCATTATGGTAAGCAGAGAAATCAAGCCTGAGTCCTGAGGTGCACCTGACAAGGCACTGGTTAAGGAATAGTTTCAAGCTAGTATTTCAAGTTTAATTTTTAATTTATTTTTTAAATTTTATTCCACTGTTAGCATAACTCAGTCCATCTTGTGTACAGTGTTCTTGCTGCCATGTTAACACTGAACCCAAAGCATCAGTTTTGAGTGGGGTGTATCTGTTAGGAAACATGCTAAATTAAAAAAAAATTATTATATTGAGCAAGACAAACCAGGATAGATTTGCATGTATATTTCAAAATGTTAGTGCTTTTTGTTGGCGTGGTGAATGATTTTTATTAACAATATAATATGTAGTAATGCATTAATTGGGGAGTGGGGAGGGATCAAATTTTAAAAGACGTGGAAGAAATTTTTTCTCAGCTACACTAAAATGCATTTGATATCATAAAGATTAATTTTGACTGACTTAATTTCTTTACTAATCTGTTGATAGTTGTGGCCACAGAAGAGGTTGTGACTGCAGAATCTGTGGATGGTGCTATTCAGCAGGTTGTCAGTTCTGGAGGTCAGCAAGTTATTACTATAGTTACAGACGGCATTCAGCTTGATAATTTGCATTCGATTCCAACCAGTGGAATAGGGCAACCAATCATTGTGACCATGCCAGATGGACAGCAAGGTGAGTGGAAACTTCTATGGTTCGAGCTTGAGGAACTATTTTAGTTATAGGAATAATAATAAATTGTTAGATGCAAATAGGTTGGGCAATTTTGTGTAATTATCAATTTAAATACATCTTTGAATTTCTATACTGCGGAAGGCTCAGACACATGAGCTGCTGCAGTCCAGTGAGTTACCACATGTCAGCTGAGTCTCTGCATTAGGAGAAGGAATGGAAGAGTTGCTGAACTGGCTGGAAGACGTTTAAAGGAAAAGTGATAACTACTTGCTTTGCCACCAGTAAGCTTAGTTGTTACAAACTTGTTATGAAAACTAGGATATGGAATAAAACAAACACCTTTTTCCAATACTTACACTGTTGCCTTGCTGGAAATATTGCAGGGAGGTGGAGCTTGGATTTAGAAATCTGATGCATGAAGCAAGCTGTGCAAATCCCATGGAGTGTGTTCTTAACAGAAAAAGAGACAAGTCTTACATGCTTGAGGTTTTAGAGGAGCAGTGGCAGAACCAGTGAAGCCAGGAGGACACAAATTGCCCTGTTGGGCCCTATGTACTTTGTTTGGAAGCTGCTAGTGTAATAAGTGCTGTTTTGTGACATGCATGTGTTTTGGGTGGTTTCTTTTAAAGATGCTCTACCACTACTGTTTAGACAAAAATAATTCCTTCTCTGGTTTCTTCATGAGGACTCCCAGTGTGGAGCTTGAAGAGTTGTACGCTGGAGACAAATGATTTGGTTCACAGGCTGTCTGAACGAGTACAGCTAGTTATCAGAAAGCATGAATGTGTGTAGGTAGTAATTGAAGTGACAGTTACATCATTTGTTTGCCAGATGGTTGCATGAGTAAATTAGACTATCAATTTCTTTAGATCCCTAATTATTTTTCCTCTAAGGTTAATAACTACTAGATATTAGATTACCTAAGGTGTTATAATTAATCAAAATCAGAAACCAGTTTTGTATTTGGTATTTTCTTAAGGAACATGATAAAAGAGATGGTCTGCTATATAAGTTACAGAACTGACAGACTGGTGACTCTGCTGCAGTTCACTTCCATGTCTGTTTAGTCTGTGAAAAATGGCAATGTTAGAGTGACAGCTAACTATTGTAAACCTCAGCAACAAAAGAATTTTAGTAAATTTTCCATGTACTGATTTTTTAATACACTTTATTATATAGTTGTATTTTCATAAGGGAAGGTCTTTTGCATTTTAATGCTGTTAATAAAATTACTTAATTATATGACTTTCCTACAGTGCAAATATTATTTGAAGTAACTGTGTTTATATGTACAAATGTGTTTTCAGTATTAACAGTTCCAGCAACAGACATTGCTGAAGAAACTGTGATAAGCGAAGAACCGCCAGTGAAGAGACAGTGCATTGAGATTGTTGAAAATCGTGTGGAGTCTGCAGAAATAGAAGTAAGGAGTATATTAAGTGATATGTGTTAACCAGAGTGTTCAGGACTGAATATCTGCTTGTGGGGTTTTTTATTGTTTTAGAGTTTAATTTCTTTGTTACCACAGAATGGAGTGTGTGAAATAATAACTTGTTCAGTCTCCCCTGTTACTGAAATTCATCTTTCACAAAGTTGTTGTAAAAAGGGTATAGGAGGGCTGTTTGCTTCATCCTCTGGTCATGCACGTAAAAGTGACGCTTGTTTAAGTATGATAAATTAATTTTTTTGTTTTTCCTGTAAGATCACTAGCTATTTTTTATAACTAGGTACCGATACATTATCAAATAACTTTACTCTTTCCGCTAGCAGTGAATGAGAGTACTGTACCCTCATCTTTCAGTTATGACCACATGCTTGTCCTGATTGTGAGATTGTATTTTTAACAATGTTTCCTTTCCATTCATGATATCTAGATAACTGTTAATGGAAATGTGAAACAGTAAGATTCTATGTGTGTCAATTTTTATCTTTTTTTTTTTTTTTTAATTGTGGAACAGTTTGCTGTTACAGATCTTTGCACCATCCTGTTCTTTTTAAATTATAGTGAGGAAAACCTAACAACATTGAGGGAGCTTTTCTTTTTATATATGACAAATAGATGTAGCTGTTCAATTTAAAATTGTAGCTTTTTTTATATTAACACAATAGGTCAACCATCTCATTCCTTCTGTTACTTCTAACTGTGCTGACCAGTTTTGATCAAAAGTTCATGAAAATTGCTGTTGCCTTGACTAGGCTGTAAGTTCTCATTTTGTCATCTCATGGTATTTCATTCATTCAAAGATTGTATTCTCCAATTTCTGTTCATATTATCGAATTGTGCCTAACTGAATACTTTTTATTGTATGGTATGTGCCATATGTTATCCATGTCTCATAATAATTCCCACCTTTCTGTCCCTAAGTTGTCATATCAAATACTTTTGGCCTCTGCAGCTTTGTGGTCACGTGGTCGCAGATTATCATGACAGTTGACATTTTCTTGCTGCATTTTTTAAAATGTATGACTGCTACAATAAAAGCATTTCTTTTGTTCACACTTTTAAACATCTGCCTGAATTATTCTCAAAGGAAATTAAGTTTCCTTAAGTATTTTAATAATTCTGTTAGGTGAAGAAAAAAAATCTAGATTTCCTAAGGACTAAACTGACCTGTTCTTAATTATACAGATAATTGGTATAACAATACAAATCTTTCAAGAGGATTACCAGTTTCAGTTATATATTTTTAAAACATTTATCAAATATGAAAAGTAGCTGGTTAAAATGAGTTACTTTATCTGTTACTTCTAAGTGCAAGTTTTGATGACTGACTTTGTCCCTGCCTGTACAACTGGAAATGCACATGCAGGCCTCTGCCTCTGTGTGGAGTCCGGTTGACTTCAGGAGCCTTACTGTGGTTCACAGGGGTATGGTGCTACCCCACTTTGGTACCAGGGACATTAAAGAAGTGCCTGTAAAGTCAGTTCACTTCAAATTTCATCATCATGGAAGGTGGTAGCTACTTGAATTTGGAGGGAGTGGGACCCCCTCTCCTCATTAAAATATTTTTTAAATGTTGAAAGCCTTTATTGTTTGGTTTCTTTGCCTCACTGGTGATTCATTCCTTTATTTCATTATAAAGAGTTGATTCAAGGCTAAGAGTGCTTTCTTCAGCTCTTTTAAATTCATTATATATGAACAGTTAACTGTAGTTTGGAAGTCTTTTAAGTTGAACATCCTTCTATTCATGTGAGGTGACAAACTTCCCTGTGAACCACTAAAGCTGTAGTGGTGTTATTTGATTTTCTCTTTTGGGTCTTCAGCTCCTCTTGAAGAGTGATAGCAGTTTTCCTAAACAGTTTGGTATTTTAAACATAGGATGGCAGCAAAAAAACCCCAACTGTCACACAGATACTGTTTTTCATTTTCATGCATAATTCATTAACATACAGTTATTTTTATTTTCGTTCTTGAATGTGATTTTTTTTTCCCATGTTGCGTGTTTGAAATGTGACACACATTAGAACCAGGACAATAATTTCATTAGACTAAAAAAATCATAATTTTAAATTAATTACATTAGTGAATTAATTTCCTGGCTTTTTCTGTTGTTAAAGAGAATGCTTGGTTATTTTACTTATGAGTGTTCCTATTGTCAATATGTAGACTGTTAAGAAAAGTTACATGTAATGAAGAACATTCCTTGATAAAATGGAAGATTTCTTAAGAGCACTCAGGATCCTCTAAGTAGATCTTTACCTCAGTAGGTTTTTATACTGATACAAAAAGACTTCAGATAATGAGAACACTTTCAGTTGTGTTCTGAAGAATGCCCCAAGATTCTGAATTTGATGAAATTAACAGACCAAATGTCATCCCCCGTATCCTAGATGTTAAGGATCCAGTTTTCACTGTTCAGTCCACTGTAGATCTGCATTGCTCCTCCAGAAGCATTGGTTTCTTTCCACTGCCTAGTTAGGTGGTATACTTGGCCTCAGTTCCTTAACTTACTCTACTTTAGGATAATGACTGTCTGAAAACTAGACCTATTAGTTGCTGGACTAAACTATATGCTTTGAATTGCTAGTCTGCCTGGTAGATACTGGTTTTATCTTCTTGTCTCTGCTGCTGAGACTTTTTTTTTTTCCTTTTTTTCTATCCCTTCCTTAATGTGCTGTACTCCTTACGGGTATGTGGCTCTGTTTCTCTCTTCCGTGTAAAACACTGATAAGATGTGGTCCGAGAACCTCTCCACCCCCAAGTGTTTGTAGTCTGCACACACTCCATAGTAGCACTTGCTATGATAGTGCCTTGCTTTTTGTAATGCACTGCAGAACCACTGGCCAGTCAGCTACTGGTGGTTCTTACTCTTCTGCAACCCAGTAGACAGAGCAGCTTTGCTTTATGCCAGTAGTAGATTTCTGGCAATTTTTATGTGACAAATTAATGAGATGAATAATGCCCAGCTTGGTATATCCCAGAGCTGAGTGCCTTCAAGAGGGAAGGATTGCTTTCACCTCATGTAGCAGGTTCAACTATTTTGACTGCTTCCCTGAGAAGTCTTGTGGCTCTTTTCACGAACTTCCTCCTCCATGAGGCTGTTTTACATAAGCTGTTGGTTCTCCTTACACTACACAGTTAAGTTACAGAAAGAGCAGTATGTTTGGGTTGGACTGATGCTGGAACATCACTGGTGTATTTCTTTGAGATGTGAGCTGTTGTTCATGTGGCATTTGTCAGTCTAGTTGCTACATGGGATGGCCATTCATAAAGCTGCTTAAAAAGCAGAATCCAAATTTTAAGAGGTGAAAGCTGAACTTCCTTTTCACAGAAGTAAGCAAGATCAGATGAGCTCTCATTTTATTAGCACATGCTACAAATGAAGCAAACCCTAGCTAGCTTCCTCCTGTTCTTCAAGCCCTGTGTAAAATCAAGTTGCACTTAAATGGAGTTTGTTCTGTTCTGTGTCTGAGCTAGTCTTCATAACCTGTAAATAACATCTCTCCTTCACCTGTTGTTTTTGCTATACAGATGCTGCTGTTAGCAATGATCTGATCACCTGTGTCAGTATATTCCAGCACATTCAGCACAGCATGTGACTGCTAAATGTGACTGTGACAAGTACTGAGAACAGTACCAAGTAGAAGGGAGGCAGAGTACTTTGTATTTTCAGATTCTGACCATGAAAATATGTGAGTGCATCAAAGAGGTGAAGAATAGGGATGCTGTTATGGGGGGAGAAATTCTAACAACTGTTTGAGGTATTGAATGGGAATGTGATACTGAACTGCTGGGATGGGAATAAGGTGAAAAAGTAACTCATTTTCACTGGGCCTTGGTTTTTGATAAGAATCTTGTTTTTCTGGGAGATAGCTTGCTTCTCTAACAACCTCCCTCCTGTGGTTACTTAACTACAGTAGAAAGAATGACTCAAAATCAAATACTGCCTTACTCATAAAAGTATGATGCACTTTAATGAAATGGTATTTGGCTGAAGATCAAAGCAAAACTATTTTCCAAGCAAATTGCTTTTTCAATTGGACTCAGTGCAGCATCAAACAAAATGACAGTACCTACGTCACTGGAGATAGAAATACATTCTCCTTAGTTCCTAAGGCACCTTCATAGGAAGTGGCATTTCCCGTATTATTTTGCTTGGAAACCATTTTATAGCCATCCCCAATGAACTTGTGTGCAGGATGGAGTCTTAAGTTACTTTTGAACTGAAAAAGCTTATCTGCCTAAATGCCTGTTAATTCATAAAAATGTAGTGTCCTTGGAGATGTAATTATACCTCTGGGTTGCATAGTATCAATCACTTCGTTTAGAAACCAGCTATGTGTGTATTTCCGTTAGTGGGCAGCTGTCACTTTCCAGTGCAAACTGCTGTTAGGTAACTGGTTTTGATTATACTGTCTGATTAGAAATACAACAGAATGGGGCCATCCTGTTAGATTAGATTCCAATCCTATTGGAAGATGATTAAAAAAAAAATAAATAAAGTAGCAAAAGGAGTAGAATCATTGAAGAAGTGTTAATATGTTATGTTAGTATTTGGTCACCACACTTCCACTATTTTATTTCACTCCTTTTCCATGAAGACTTGCTTGGTACCTTTGCAGCTAAATAAATTTGGGTTTACTGTATTTACACTTCAGTCCTTATTTTAAGGAGTTGTCTGGTGATAGTTCATGTCTGATTTACACAGCTGCATTCATATAGGTTTGCCTGAGTAAGAACTGAACAGTTTCTACGTGATACCCTAGCACTTCAGCTACATGTAAAGAAAAAATAATTTGCCATTTTAACTTGTATTTGATACGTATTTGACAAAATCTCGCTGGTTCTGTTTCTAATAGGAAAGAGAAACTCTTCAGAAACAGCTGGATGAGGCAAACAGAGAAGCACAAAAATATCGTCAGCAGCTTCTAAAGAAAGAACAAGAAGCAGAGGCTTATCGGCAGAAGTTAGAGGCAATAAACCGCCTCCAGACTAATAAAGAAGCCGTTTAATAAAAAAAAATGAACATACTACAAAGCCTGTTACTTTCCCAAATCTGCAGTACAATCTTGAACTGTACACTGTATAGGTACAGACACAGGATTACATGATAGAGAAGATGCTACAAGTTGATAACTGGACTTAAGCCGTGAGCTCTGATGAATTTCTTGTAACATAAAAACTCTGAATTTAGACATTGTGAAAAATATTTAAAATTAAATACTGTAAATAGTTGGTTTTTTTACAGTTTCAAAATGAGTTGATAAATCTTTTTGAAGGGATCCAGAAACACGAGAAGCCAATGTTTTTGTGAAATTTTTGATTTTAGTATGAATCTAACTTCTGAAAAACAGAACAGTTTTAAGGGTGATATTGATTTAAGCTGACAACTTGAAAATGAATTATATGACAAAATGAATTAACAGTTATTTCTACATGGTAACAACTTAAACTTCTCTGAATAAGACATTTCCAGGTGGAAATCTTTGTACAGCTTTAAGTAGTTGTCTCAGATTCTCTGAAAACCATTTTGGGTTTGTTTTTTTTATTTTAGGCGGTGAAATTTTTATATTTAATTTCAGATATATCCAAGTAGATTTACATGTATATGAAGCTAATATTTTTTAAACTTTTCAGTTTGTACATATGCTGCATGTTTTTATAATTTCTATACATACATCTTGCATAGGTATTTTTCAGCAAAGATGAGAAAAATTATGAGAAAAATGTTTAGCCTATAGGTCATTCGAAGTAAGCTAGCAGCCAGTTTTATTGTGGATGGTATATCTCTTGGAAGAATGTAATTTGTAATTAAAAAGAACAAAAAAAAAATCATAATTTACGTATTAGAGGCAATTTAAAATTTGGTAGTGGAGGCATTGAAACTTGACTTTGTGTGTCTTACAGTTTTCCTGTACAGACATTTTAAAGTTCAGTAATGAGTAGAAAAGAATGTCTCCACTGGAACCCAAATAGTAGTTCTTTTAGAATATTCCTATTGACCTGTTTTCCCCAATAACCTTGAAATTATTTCACTGATACATTTTTTTCTAAACAGACTTTTGCATTTTAATTATGCAATTGGACAAGTAATTTTTTTATGTTGTAGTGATGCTGCACTTACCTAGCATCATTGTTCTTCACTGTGATACTGTGTTTGTGTGTGTCTGTGCAGTGATCTATTATGCTTAGGATTTATATAGCACATTACATCTTCAGAGCATTGTAAAACCTTTTAAAGAACCCTTACTGTACTGCCTGAGGCAGGTGAGTGAGTGTTACTGTCTCAATTTTATAACTGGCATAAGCGCAACACAAGGAGTGTTAAACGACTGGCCCAAGACCACGTGAATCTGTGGTAGACCTGAGAACAGATCTCAGGAGTTCCTGGCTTCTAGTCCTGTGCTGAGACTGAGCTGCCTTAAGATTGTTCAGTGCTGTGTTACATTAAATTTTGAACTACTGTGCAGATTCCTTTTTTGTAAGATAAAGCTCTTTGTGCTTTGCTTTGTTGTTCCATGTTTCACTGCTTTTATGGAATTGTTTATATAAACTTAAGCAAAAAGTTTAGTTTACCTATACTGTACACAGAAGAATTACCCTTAAAACTGTACTCTGGCCTACTTTTTCTATTTTACAATTAAATATCTTTTCCACATATACGTAGTGTAGAATCAATTCCATTTCAGTTGTTTTGTGTGCACATTAGAAGGTCAAAGCTGTGCTGTGTTAGGCATTCAGAAAAATACGAAAAAACAGTTTTAGGCTTAGAACGGACTTCAAAGGTAGGAGGGAGGTGTGGGGAAAGAATTGTGTTATACAATGCAAAGTCAGATCTTCCTTCTTCAAACTTTGACTTGAGTTTAGGAAAAAATCCTAACTGTCCTGGTATCGGTATAAGTTTGGCAAATTTGATTCCAATTGGCAAATTTGACCAGAAAATAATCAAAATATAATAAAAAAATGTAAAATCTGTGGTGGTGGGTTTTAGAAGAATTATTATGTTCAGCTGGTACTAGGACTTGAAGCAAGCCTTGTGCAGTGACTAACTGGAAATTGCTATATTTTAGGGTTGGGTTTTTTTTTTTGTTTGTTTTGTTTTGTGTTTTGTTTTGTTTTGTTTTATTTTTCCCCCCAGAAACTCTCCATTATGTCACTAGTAAATGCAGGAACCACTTAGTCAAGTTAAATGTGTTGGTTAGGCGTTGCTCCAATTGAATTATTCTGTGATCAAAATGGTGTTTGTGTCCTCACATCCCACAAACTTAACTACAGTTTAATCTCTGTGAACTCTTAGTAACGATAAGAATTCGGCGTTAGGCTGAGCGGTGATAGTGGTAATGTTCACGTCCAAATGGAGAGTTTCCCACGGTTTTGACGGCACAGACCTTTGTAGCAAACAATGAAAAGAACCTTTCCTATTCATTGTGCTTCCTGTGAGCAAATATTCTATTCCTCATTGTCTGTGTCAAAATCCTTCCAAGTGCAGGGTAGCTATAACAAAAATTTATTTATGGCCAGCAATATTTACCTTACCTGTAATTCATTATCACCTATTTTATTCTAGTTCCGAACAGGACCTGCTGTTTGTTCTCTTCTGCACAAAACGAGAAACCAACGTGATCAAACGATCAGCTGTGAGCACAAGGTCTTGGGTTTATGTCACATGGAATATTTATTGTGTAGTTTAGCTCTGAAAACAGTGTTAAAAGTATTGCTCCTTATTTGCTGTTCCAAATTGAAATCATAACTGTAATTAGCTACCAGCTTTCTTTGAGCAGGCGTCCGTATATTAAGTGATGTATTAGTTACTTGTAACAAGCTAGAATCACAATTTTTTGGGAGCTCTCAGCTCTTTTTGAGTTGGTCCTGTGCTCGGTGCCAGCCCCTTTTCACCTTCTTTGTTCCCCCTAGCATTTGCAGTAAAGCCAAGTAAAGAGAGGTTCGTAAATTGATACCGAGTGTGTGGGCAGCTTGTTATTTCTTTTTTCCCTAATGTTTCCAGAGAAATGTGAGATAAAGCAGATGAATATGTGTATGGTATGGTTCATTTTGTGCACTTCTTGCACTTCCTCTTTCAATGCCTTTTTTAACAATTTTTTTATTTCAGTATATTAATCTGATGTATGTGTATCAGAGCATCGTTGTCATATCTATGGAACAGTTCTTTCTCAAATATCTAATCATAGCAGAAACTAGGAAAGGTTTTCACATCGTTCTGTAGGACGTACGCTATGGACAAAGACGTAACAACTGTCTAGAACTCTCTAGAATAATGAAAGTGTTTAGGCTGCGTTATGAAGCAGAAAATCAAAGCTGCTCTGACAGCCAGTTCTCTTCTGTATGATGAGAACAGAGAAACTGCTGTCATGTATCAGACAAGTCTGCCTGGCCTGGTGTCCTGTCTCCATCTGGGCCAGCCCTAAGCAGGAACATAGAGGTATAGCAAAAACAGTGCAAGCGTATGTTGTACTATGGAATAATTTCTCCTTGTGGTGCTTAGTCCATAAGTCCTACCTCTCTCTTTTTCCCAGGGCTGCCTGGTATGACTGTAGAGCAAGTGAGTTCCTTCTTTGTGAAGAGATGATAAACACTCAACATTGAGTAAAGTGTCAAGTCATGCTACCAAAGACAGGTCAGGATGTGTTTTGAGATCCTAAAACTGGAACAAGAGGGAATCTACATGGCTGTCCAAACTGAGAACAATCCAGGTGGAGGGCTTGGAGGAATTCAGGAGATGCAGGACCAAATCCTAGTGCTTACGCATATCTCCTGTGAGAAGAGCAAGCACAGTGTAGGAAAAAATATATATATTTTCCCAGCTCAGCCATCTAGGGTGATACCAGTGGAGGAATATCACCCTTCAGGGTAACCTGGTCTGATCCAAAGGGCAGGAAGTCCACAAAGAGGATTATTGCTGGTTTGCATTGCAGTTCTGGAACAGGCAATAATTTTAATTCCCTTCTTTCTAGCAACCAGCATAGGGACTGAAGACTTGTAGCACTGCAAGTGTACTCTCTTCTTGGGAAAACTCAGTCCTATGATTTTTATTTTATTTTATTTTATTTTTTTTAAAAAAAAGCTCCTACCTGCAGTGTCAAATTTCTTATGTATTGTTGGTGCCTTGTTTTAATGACTACTGCTAGCACGGTAATTTGGTGTGTTTGAGTAACATGGCTGCTTTTATTTGGTTTTGGTTTTAGAAGCCCTTGATCTTTCTCTCACACAAGTCTGTTACTGTGTTTTATATTCATGACATGGATTACTGTGAGACTTCCGATAGATGGTTTGAAAATGGGAAGGGTTAGCGCAGAGGCAGCTCCTCTTAGAGATACACTATCTTACACATCAAAAGAGCACAGATGAGAACATATGTGAGACAGTGAAAGCCCTCACTTGGGAGGAGTTAGATAAACAATAACCAATAACCTGCCTACGTTAAACCTTTTCCAGGATAAAGGGAGAGAGATAAAGGGAGCTATAAAGGGTGAAGCAGCTAACAGGGCACCAGACCAAACTACCCACAGCTCCTGAAAGGTCGTGGCCCAGGTTTGTGGAGGCGCTTTTAGAAGGAATCAGTATGGAACCTGAGGAGTACAGACGGAGAGGTGAGTGATGCTCTGCTTTTGGAAATAGGTAGCATTTGCTCGCAGAGATCAACTGTTGTAGGGCTGGGAGTGGTACCCAGAAATGAGGATGGGCTGTATACTCTTTATTTGCACGTGTGTCCTTGCGACTTTAGGTCTGCTGAGGCTAAGACAAAAATGCGTCCCAGGATTGAGTTTAAATTCATGGGTTTAGAGTCAGTGGACAACTTGGGCTTTTGGGTCTTACATTTAGAATACTGTGGGAAAGCTGCAAAACTGTGATTCTGAATAAACTTGTGCTAAGGGGTGGTGCACAGTGACTCTTCCCCAGCTGTCACCGTGAAACTTCACTGATGCTGGCACAGTTCTGAAGATCGGGAGCAAACTTTAGTCTCAAGGCTGCATTTTCAGAGGATGCAAAAGGAGATATGCCATAATGACAAGGAAGCATGGGGCATTATGAAAACTTAATTTTTATAAAATGTGGTTTCAGTTGTCTTGTAGGCAAGAAAATGTGTGTATCCTCTCAGTAATCAAACAAACTATACTTGTACCATGGTTGTATTTTAAAGGTACATTTGAACTATTCAGTGACAACACTGAAATAACACTCTAATTTGCTGTGTCCCCATGAAGCCTGTTCTAGCAGCCGTGTCCCTACATAATTAGATGGGACAAGTAGGGTGTAGGAGGAAGGTTAGTTCCTGTGGCTGTCCTTTCCTGGGAGCAGTATTCCAAGCCCTGTCCAATGCTAATGACAGATTGCATGAAGTGCCAGGACTACTCGCTAGTTTTCCTGCAATGGAAACTCAAAGCACTGGTTTGCCTCTTCCAGGGAA